TTTTCAGCAGTTCTTCGTCATGATTTCAATTATATTACAGCGTGATTTAATTTTTAGTTCATCACAATTTCGGTTATTTTTCAGCATTGTTTCAATGTTTTTTTAAACACGATATCAGTTGAATTACAACATAATTTTTGTTGGATTTCAGCGCGAATTGAATTTCAACTTCGGCTTGCTTTCAGGCGTTTTTTAACACAGTTTCAGTTGTTTTTTTAGCACAATTGTAGTTGTTTTTCAGCGCAATTTCAGTCGTTTTTCGGCGTAATTTAAAATTTTTGCAGCGCCTTTTTAAATTTCATTTCAAAACGATTTCAATTGCATGCCAGGTTTTACGTATACCTTTTTTTAAATCGCTTGGACTTGCATTCCTTAGCCACATTTCCGGAGTTTCGCCTGAAATGGCGAGTTCACTCACGCCCTTTCAAAGAAGCTCTTCCTAAGGGTCAGGTCCTTAGAATCCTTTAATCGAGCTTAATACTTCCTGGAATTGAGGCCGGAGGAAGAAGTGTTGTCCTTGCCTCAAGTCACAGTCCTTCCTTGTTGCCCTTTATAGTCCTTTATTCAGGTCGCCTTGACGAAGGAAAACTCCCCTTACCCAATTTTCATTGAAAACATTAATAAATTATATTGATTTTTAGATATTTATTTTTTTAAGTATTTATAAGTAATCCTTAATTTTTCCTTGCTTATGTAAAATCACTATGGTACTCTTTGAAATTTGTAGCATTTTAAATTTCAATCAATTAAAATGCTGAAGGAATTAGGCCACCTATTATATATTTAATTTACTGAAATACGTTGTAATGATGTTATCGCTCACCTCTCACACATCCAGGCTCTGTTCATAAACGTATATTTTTTAAAATAATTATAAGGCAAAGAGGGCTATAAACTTATACATTCTGAGAAAGAAAAATTAATTAGATGTGCTAAAATATGGGACAGATATTTTGCACAGCAGTTTCGAACTAATGGAAAATTTTCCATCCCGAAGCTAACGAATTTGTCCAGAATATATAAAAATGTTTAGTGTAGTTATGCATTGCATACAATTCGTCATACCTATGGATTTCTACTGGAATAAATATGTACGCATCTAAAAATCTAGAATAAAATATAATATGTAAGCATATTATATTTTATACGCAGGCCTTGTAGTCTATTCAATACAATATTTAAACATGTTATGTAGTTTATTCAATGCAATATGCAAACATATTATGTAGTCTATTCAATACAATGTGTAAACTTATTATATTTTATACGCATGCATTGTAGTCTATTATAAATAAATGTTTTACCATAAAATCAATCAGGCATGATAGTCTATTCTAAATAAATGTTTAACCATAAAATCAATCAGGCTTGGTAGTCTATTGGTATATAGGAAGTGTGGTAATAGGCACATGGTGCATTCTTAAATGCTAATGCAGCGACGAGTTCTCCACGCTAATTATTAGCTATAATCTAGCTAATTGCAGGAACTAATCTAACTAATTATATGCAGCGAAGTGCTTAAAATCGTAGGTTATGGCCACCGTAGCCCTGTATGGTTTTGCTCAGAGCCAGGAGGTCTGGCTGTAAAATTCCAACAGCTCTTTAGTGGCTACAGGTATGGGGGTTTTAAACTTATAACCTTTATTTACCCTGAAATATAGCTTTGTTTCTAAAAAAGCTAAAAAAAGCTAAAAAAGCTTTTAAAATTTAGTTTGAAGTTCCTTTATATTAAATGTTTAAAGTTTGTCTAGTGTGATAATTCTTAATAGTAATAAAAAATTTTGTCTGGTTTAAACTTTCTTTACATTATAGAAATAAACTTCATCTAGTTTGAACTTTCTTTATATTAAATGTTTAAACTTCGTCTAGTTCGAAATTTGTTTTGCTTCTAATAAAGCTCATCTTGTTTGAATTTATATACTAAATTCTTTCTTTACATTAAATGAATAAACTTCGTCTAGTTCGATAATTCTTTATATCAATAAATAAAATTTGTCTAGTTTGAATTTTCTTTGTATTAATTAAATAAGCTTTCTCTAGTTCGGACTTTTTTATAAACATAAAATAAACTTTATCTGCACTAAATCTTCTTTACATTGATTAAATAAACTTGTCTAGATTAAACCCAGTTTATACTCATAAAATATGCTGTATCTCATTTCAACGGGTTTTAGAACCACTAAAAACTTAATTTGGCTTCAACACTCTCTATTGGAAAAGTATTAAAAAGTGTTTCAACACTTTTAACACTCCAAACAGCTCTCCTTTATACGTGTATTCATTTTTATTTTTATGTTTATCTACTATTTATTAAATTCTAAGTCAAAGGGCTACTTTCACATCAGGTCCAACATCCTGCATTAAAATGTGTCATATATTCTCTAGAATTTATCTAATTATCATATCTATAATATAACTCAAAAATATACATAAGTTTTTTTAATAATTTTAACTTAACCAATCAATGTTATAATAAGAGTTATCGTCGGTCAGTGAGCGGCCGCTGAAAGCGCGGACCCTAACAAAATTTAAAGACCACACTAATGTTGTAGTAGGTATTAAAACTGACAGGTTGTTTCAGTTAATGGAAAGTAGGTTACTCAGAATCATTATAAATCCGGCTAAGGTTATTGCTATAAATAAAATCACAGCAAAGTCAAAGGAGCTGGTATTAAAACCTAATGAACCACAATATTTTGGTAATTGCCCCAGCTTCTGGTAATCGAAATCAGAAGCTGCCGCGTCTGTAAATTTTCACTGGGGAGATATTACTTCTAAAGATTGGTTGCGGTGACCTTTGGGATTGAATGTACAGAACATGTCGGTCGTGCTTGCTGTGACCTCATGCAGTCAAGCGTGTAAGTTATGCTTTAGGATCGTCGCTTTTATCCGTCCTCAGTCACCGGGATACTTTACAGTCCCCAGGCATCGTTGAAGTCCATATTTATCATTACAAGCGCGCCGTTACAGTCCACAGGTGCCATATCCATCACACGTTTCAGTCTCCAAGAATTTCATCTCTGCACAGCGTCTGAAATTGACCCTATCTATCTCCATCATGTCTGGAGATGCTTCTCATTGTGTCTAGCACGTCTGTTTTCACTTCAACTAAATCTACAAATTTTTGAGGTACCCTTTAACGTTATCCGCACAAGATACCGTTACCCTTATCCGTCTCAATTAAGTTACCCTTTAAGAATATGCACCATGTCTTGAATTACCCTTACATATCTCCACCACGTCTGAACTTACCCTTACCTATCTCCCCTGACAAGTTTATCGCACGTGTTTGCAGAGACATCCTCTGAGATCGAGGACAAGGTCTAATTTTTTTGCACTTGCCGACTTTATTTCGTATATTCTGCAATGTAAATGCATGCCTTTAGAATACAATTATACAGGCGAGTAAAGCGCACGTACACAAGCCGATGCTGTGTCAATTAATGGATACAAAAACAATTGAATCTTGAGACGTTAAATTTAGCGATTCCAGCGATCAGTATTGTCAACTATTGCTAGTTAATCCCTCGGATATATAACCATTGATCACAGGTTATGATTTGAAAAAGCGCTTTAAAGTATTATTCGCTGCATATTGAGTATACATAAGTCAAGTATCGTGCGTACCATGAGACGTCCAAGAGAGCCCAAGGACTCAATAAATTTTCGCATTTAAAGTGATATAAATAATTTATTCATTTATAGAATAATTTTAGATAAGTGCTATTAATAATTAAAGTGCTGTAAATAATCTGGTAGTGGTAAAAACGCAATGGAAAACTTACTTACCAATTAAGTAGCCCTTTCTAGAAATTAAGAGTTGCTGTGACAATATTGTTTGTTACTTGTAATTTGTTTGTGGCAGGCTTGTTTGTGTGAGGCTTGTTTGTGGTAGGCTTGTTAGTGACAGGCATGTGAAAACTTCCTGCATCAATCAAAAATATAAATATTTCTTTTTAATAATGAATTAATAAGCCCAAGTTTTACTTGCTATCACCTTCGTTAATTTCATAACTTCATGCTTGATATATCCATCGAATACAGTACCGCTTTATTAAAATAAACATACTTAATATAATGTTCTTGCCAAGTCTGGAATCCCATTAATAAATATTCTATTTCGGCAATTGAAATAAAATATTAACTTTATTCAAAGTTCATGATATTCTATAAAATAATTGTGACGGAAATTTAAAATTTTCTATTAACCGCCTATTTACCGCCGCATTATAATCCCAACAGTTCATTTATTGAATATTAAGACTGTTTATAATATAAATAAATTAAGCGAAATACAATTAATTTATAAAAAATTAATTTTCAATATAATTTTAGACATTAAGAATAATGTTTTCATTATTCGCTATATGTAAGATTCGAACATAGATACCAAATGTATATAAACAGGAGAAATTTCTTTGTCCTTGACCCATGGATTAAACTTCAAGTTTCGTTCTCGCTTTAGATAAAAATACGCAGCTGATAATAATATAACTGGAAATGTGGGTATAAATGATAAAAAAAAGTAAAGACTGCGTTACTAAGGACCATGCAATGAGGGGTTAAATGAGGGGTGGAATTGAAGGTAAAACGAGGGTAACGGTTTAAAAATATGTATATTCAGACATATAGTTGTATATTGCTTGAAGTAAAAATGGAATAAAATATAACGTTGCGTGTGGAGATAGAACAAGTCTGCCACAAAGTTACGAAGATAAAATTTTGTGCACCAAACCATAGCTAAAGATGACTAAGAGAGGTCGGGTAGCACCAAGCAAATGTCATGTAACCAGGGTTAAGTAGAAGCCAGAAATTAACCGGCTAGTAAGCCTGGCTAGGTAGCCAGACAAGACAACCTTGGCACAGTAAAGTGCTTCATTAAGGGCACCAGAAAAGGCAGTCAAGGAAGAATTAAAGACACCTGCAAGACAGGCAAGGCACAATAGGCTACACTCAAGGCGCATGTGGCTAGGCGCTCTCCTAGGACCCGTGACGTCACGAGGTCACAGGCCGCCTATATAAGAGGGCGCTCAGTGACCCTCGGCACTCAGTGCCTCACAAGCAAGCAGCCATGAAATACGTAAGTGTCGCTGCCCCGACTGCACAGTTGAGAGAGCCTTTCTATCACTATTCTATTTTTTTAGAATTATTGATTTTAATTTTGAGGAGAGTAGGTGGTAAAAGGATTTTTAATATTCTTATTTCTTTATTTTCTGGGAAACTGGAACGTTTTTTTTTTATTTTGATAAGAATTGTGAGTGAAAGGGCTTTTACTTTCATTGTTTTGTTTCCTGGGGAAATGCAACACGTTTTTTTAAGAGAATTGGGGGTAAAAAAAGTCCTTGCTTTCGTTTTTTTTATTTCAGGAAATTGTTAGTCGGAATTTTAAAAAATAGGTGGTAAAAGATTCAAACTTTTGGCTTTTTGTTTTCTAGTTAATCATAACACGTTATTTTAAAGATAATTTGTAGCAAAAGGGTTCAATATTTCATCTTTTTGTCTTCTAAAAAACTGCAAAACGCTTTATTATTGACGGAATGTAGGTTAAATGGTCCAAATTGGATCTTATTATCTTCTAAGGAACTATTAAACCTATATTTAAAGTGAGAGGATGCAAAAAACAGACTCTCTTTTTGTACTTGGAATTTATTAAACACAACTCAAAGAAAGTGTGTTGTATAATAGGCCTCAGTGAGGTTTTTCATTTCCATAAGGCCTTCAAGAAAGTATCCTAAATAATATGGTATTTTCAAGGATTTAATGAAATATATAATGAAGTAAGGCTTCGGCTCTTTATATATGCGTCTGAATCAAAATATAAATAATTATTACCGAAAGGTCCATCATCATTAAATAATTGCTTGTATAAGAATAGGCATACATGCAAAACGTATTTCGTTTTATATGTTTTTTCGCTGGGGGTTGAAAAAACTGTGTCAAAATATATGTATATTTTTCATGTCCCAATAATCTTAGTTATAATTTATAGTGTCTCAAATGTATGTTATAAACCTATTTTCATTTTTTAAATCCCCCACCTTTCTTACAAAGACGCTGCTTTAACAAAATTATTTTAAATTCTCATTTATTCCTGGATTCTGCCATTTAGAAAAATTGTTACACGTTTTTACTCCGATTTAATATATAAAATAATTTAATATATAATTGATTCAGTGACCGATTTAATTAGTAGGACAAGTTTGAAGAGAGAGACTTTCGATCTCCGATCAGCTATGCGCCATGGCATTGATACCACGCGACGATTGGCGCATTCAGGGATTGATTATTCGATCAAACGATCATTTGCTACGTTGATCAATTTATTTGCTACGCTGATCAATCTTTGTGATAAACTTGAAACTTCCGAATTAACTTACGAAACAATTATATGTACATGAAAAAAATATTGTTCATCGTGTGCGTAATCAATATCGTGATCGTTAAATGTGGTTTGTAGGTTCAACTTTGAATTGATTTTTAGCTCTTTCTACAATTCTTGAATAATCTGGAATCTTCTTTATTAATTGAAAGAAGTCTGCATGCTTCTAGACAGTGTCTCCAAATTTATTTTATAGATGTTTTGTCTTTTTATAAATCTACGTATGTCTTTGCATTTGTACATTGTGATTTCAAACACCCATTTTAATTTTGGCTTCATCTATCCTCCGATATTACATCTCGGAATAAATATAATTAAAAATTCAAACACCTATTTTAATTTTGGCCTTAACCATCATCCGATATTACATCTCGCAATAAATATATTTGAAATTTCAAACACCCATTTTAATTTTGATAAATATAATTATAAATTCAAACACCCATTTTAATTTTGACCTTATCTATCCTCCAATATTCCATCTCGGAATAAATATAATAAAAAATTCAAACACTTATTTTAATTTCGACCTTATCTATCCTCCGCTATTACAACTTCTCTGAATTTAATTAATTAAATTAATTTATTTATTCAATTAATATAATCTATTAATCAATTTACTTTAATAAATTAATTAGTTTATCAAATTTAAATTATATAAATTTTCAGGCAATCTTCATCGCCCTGTTCGCCGTGGCTTCGGCCCTCCCCGGACGCGTCGTGCGCTCCAGCGACGACGTCGTGCCAATCCTCCGCAGCGACGTCGTGGCGCCGAGCGCCGGCGGCGAGTACAGCTTCGATGTCGAGACCGGGGACGGTATCGTGCGCTCCGAGTCCGGCTACGGCTCAGCTGACAACGGAGCCGTCGAGTCCCAGGTAAAGTGGTGCGCTACGGCTCAGCTGACAACGGAGCCGTCGAGTCCCAGGTAAAGTGGCGCCGGCATCGTGCGCTCCGAGTCCGGCTACGGCTCAGCTGACAACGGAGCCGTCGAGTCCCAGGTAAATTATATCCGCTGTCTTGAACTGCGGCTCCGGCGGCAACGTTGATATCAAGTCATATGTAATGCCACACACATAAAAACGTGCGTGAATAAAGCGACATTAAAAAAATATTTGGTTACACAACTAACCAGTTCCAATATTTTCGTATATACGGAGCAGAGAAATTGCCTTAAAGAGAAACTATCAGTAAAAATTATTGATAGTGTTTCTTGAAGAAAATTTCTCTGCTCCGGATATACTAAAATATTGGAACTGGTCAGTTATGTAATCAAATGTTTTTTAATCTTGCTTTATTCGCGCACGTATCTCTATGTGCGTGGCCTTTCCTGAGCGGTAAGCTTATGCTTAGTTTGTATGCTTATATGTATATTGCAGACACGTAGAGCTAGAATTCGTTAGTTCATATGTGATTCGAGTTCAAAATAGTAAATATAATAAATTTACTAAATACTATGCAAAATGGAAATCATTGTAAAATTTCAAGATGCATTCAGGTGCTCGAATTTAAAATTATACAGCCCGTATATAATAGCGTTAACAACACATATACTGCCAATAAGTGCGAAAACAATTTAGTAAGAAAATAAATGCAAATATCAATATACATCCGGTATATTACGCTGATTAAACACTATATACCGCAATAGCTAATTGGATTTTAGGATATATTTCAAACATCGTGGCAATTATCCTCGTATTTTACTGTCTAGTTTCCCAGCAATCGCTATTAAGTAGTTTGTACACACGGACTCGGGTTCTCTTAAAACATTATGATAATAGTAATAATAAGTTTGTATATTCACAGTCTCTATGCAATTAGATATATTCCTCAAAATTTTATTTTCATCCTCCATGTGTTAGCATCTACTAAATTATTATGCTTCACAATGCAGAATTTTGATTACTTTTTATTCATGCAACCACAGTTCAAAATTATTTGATCTGTAATTAAGACAATAATTTGATAAAGAAAGGAGAAAAGATTTAAATTTGAAGCAAGCAAATCAACAAGTTGTTATTAATAATAAAAAGAATGGTTTTTATAGGGAATAGTGTATATAGGATATAGTTTGTATAAGGAATGGTTTATATAAGGAATGGTTCATATAGGAAATATAGTTGTTCCGGTGCAGTAATTCTCCCTTGTTTATTATATTTCTTAAGAAACATGGCAATGAGTTTTAACAGTCGAGCAACATGATTATTAGGCCTATTTTATTTAAAACTATTATTTTTACGCTCATATTTGACCTTTCATTAATACCATTACTTACTGTTCTTAGAAATTTCAAAATGAAATAATGACAACTATTTCAATAGTCTACACATTTTTTTTGGCCATATACAATAGGCTTAACAACTTCTTCTGTTGTATATACGAAAAAAATCTTCAACTTTTCACCTCTTTCACCCTCAGGGAAACGTCAGCTTCACTCACACTGATGTAAATACAACATACATAATCATCTAACAATCTTATATATTGTGAGCTTAATTATTTTCTTTTTAATTATTATTTTCCCCACCCATAGTTTTTTTTCTGAGATAAAAAAATCAACTTTCCCCTCTTTTCACCTTAGGGAACCGTTATCTTCACCCACCCCGATAGAAATACTATCATCATCCTTATATATTGTGAGCTTAATTACTATTTTCCCCACCCTTAATTATTTTTTCCGATAAAAGCTTCAACTTTTCACCTCTTTCACCCTCAGGGAACCGTTAGCTTCACCCACCCTGATGGAAACACTATCATCTTCTTACAATCTATATATTGTGGGCTTAATTATTATTTTTTTAGTTATTATTTTCCATGACAATAGCTTCAACTTTTCCCCTCTTTTCCCCTCAGGGAACCGTAAGCTTAACCCACCCTGATGGATACACTATCATCATCTTACAATTTTATATATTATGAGCTTAATTTTTAATTATTATTTTCCCAGCCCATAATTATTTTCCCCGGAAAAGGCTTCAACTTTTCCCTCTTTTCCCCTCAGGGAACCGTAAGCTTCACTCACCCTGACGGAACTCCCTTCGAACTGAAATTCGTCGCTAACGCGGCCGGTTACCAGCCAGAGTCCGCTGCCCTGCCTGTGGCCCCGGCCTTCCCCTTCGAGATCCCTCAGTTCGTCCTCGACCAGATCGCTAAGGCTGCCGAGGAGGACGCCAACCGATCCCTCGAACAGTCCAAGGGCGACTACGTCGGATACGAATAAATTAATCCATACGAATACAGAAGACGCGAATGGCTACACGAATAAATCGAAAAATTTTAATACGGAGGATACGAACGGATAAATGATGAATAAAATAAGAGATTCGTATGCGGAAGACTTGAACGGCTACATGAACAAATCGAAAGATTCGAATTCAGAGGACGCGAACGAAAACAAGAAATAAAGGAAATTATTTGAATACAGTCGAGGATTCGAACAGGATTTGATGCATTGCAAGGATTTTGAGTTCCGTTATACGGAACAGGCAAAATTCTGAATGGGACAAAATAATTCGATAGTAATAATAATTTCGTGACTGGGGCTGAATTAAAGCAGTCAAAACATGGATAAAAAAAACTCCCTTGATTGTAATTTCGGATGCATGACTTATCTCTTGTTTCCTAAATATTTATTTTTATTTATTTTCAACAGACAGAACAAACTTGTGTTGGTTTTTCATTACCCATCCTCTAATTTAAAAAATTTGCATCCTTAATAAAATAAGGCCTTTATTAGGGGTTTTCTGCATTTGAATATGAAGTTTATTATATTAAATAACTGGCCTATCAAATTTAAGCTGAAACACATTTTCTTTATTGAATAATCTTTTTTTTCTTTTCTTTAATCGCATCTTATTCATTTCCAAATACTGAAGTCGCATATTCATATGCCGAAAATAACAACTTTTTGTACAAATTATTTCTGGAAAAATCTTATAATTTTTATTGGCTGCCGAATAGCACCACTGTATGTAAAAAATAAAGTATTCAGATTGAAACGCCAAACTCAGTCTAACTTAATAAATAAATTTTGAATTTTGTAAACTAGAAAGGGAAAGTTTCATTTTAGGAAACGAGTTGAATTAGTAAAGAAATCCAAATCACATCTCATTAGAGCCTATAACCTTATACTAATAATTTATAGATAATGTCACAGCATTCTTAAACGCATAGGGAAATTGCAATATTTCTCCGGGAATGGCATCACTGCATGAAATTGTTTAATTTCATTGAAACATTAGATGATTAATAAAAAATAGCATCAAAAACAACGCATGAAAAATATTATATCAACATGCAAGGCTTATAATAACAGCATAAATTTTATCAACATGATATGAGTAACTTAACAAATCCGTAAAGATGTTAATCGATGAAACTGATTATATGATATCAAGACTGGTAAATAAAGAATAATATCGCCGGCTTAGCTTTCGTCTATTTATTTTCGCAACATTAGTGGTTGCTGATTACGCTGCGAATTTAAAAGAATAATATTCAGAATTTTCATTTTATCAAGTAATTGGATATTTACAAATTAAAATAAATCAAATATCATTCATTATTCTTGTAGAGATGAGCGTCAAGCACAAGTTTAAAAGTAATCTTAAAACTGATAAATTGAACCTTTTTCGTCTACAAAGATCACCAACATAAATGACGCCCTTGAAAATAACCATGAAGCTGGAAAATTTTTTAAAACATAGAACATTATTTCAGTACTCGTATGATTCTTTCAACTCCTATGAAACCATCATTACGAATTTAACCATTATTATGTTATTAAGGACACAAAATGTAATAACAGGCACATGCAAGAACCACAACTTGAAATTGCATAAAATTCCATAGCTTCAAAATCATACGGAAAATAATCAAAATTAATACGGAGAATTACCGTGGGTTATCAGTGGGATATTCGCTATTTTTTGATGATGGGAATGCAACATAACTTGCTTTATTGATTATACTTCTTCAAATTACTGCAGTTAAAGTTTATTCATCACGTTTATTGATAGGAAAGGTATCACTGATGTTGTTTTAGTTAGTGCGAATGTAGTCATTTCAGCTTTGAAATACGTGAAGTGAAATAATAAAATAATATATGAAATTGAAATAAAATAAGTAAAATTTACAGAAGTGATTCCTTTTTCGCATTAAAGCTTCACTAAACATAAAAATTCACGAAAATGTCCTTTGTTTCCCGAAAAATTTATTCATCAAGAAAATTTCACAAAAAATTATTTAAAAACGTCAAACTTTTCACCAGTTTTGCATTATAATTCATGTCCATTTTTCAATTGAACCACAGATAACAGTTTTGCATTATAATTTTTGTCCATATTTCAATTCAATCCCAAAAAAACGGTGAAAAAAGTTTCAACTTTAATAATCTTTAAAGCCTGACTTTTTATATGAGAGCATTTCATAGTGCTCCTTTGATTATTATTCATATAAAGATACCAACTCTGTTATTTCCTGATATCTCAAGTAGCCGCACCTTATACAAAGTTGACCTACATTGAGCCAGGATCAAAAGGGTAACCAACAATTGCCTAGATCAAAAGGTTAAACAATAATTTGAGAGGGTCCAGAGTAAGTCTGGTGACACTACCCGATCTTCAGAGAAAAGACTACAAATAACAGAAACAAATGTCGCTGGTCTTCAAGTGGTATTCAAAACATCCACCTTTCACTCCACCCTCAGACCAGTCCGCCAACAATACTTCAGCTCTATAGGTGCGCCCCTTCAATTCTCACACTTGGCCTTTCAAATCGAACACAATTTTAAAGGGGTCGATTCTTTTTGAAAATTTATGTTTCTTGCCAAATACTCACAAATTCTAATTTGAATATCTACAGAGCAGAAAAACGTCGTTCTTTATTCAAATCCGTACTACCAATCTTACTTCCTTACTAATCCTTTTTTATTCAAATCCTTATAGAAATTACCTTTGACCATCGGCTATGTCCAATTAGTTGAAACTATTGGAAATAATTTAAGTTTACTAGAATTTATTATTTTTTCTGGCTGTCCATCATCCATTCACGTCTTGCACATTGAGTGTCCACTCTCCATCACATTGCAATTCTCAAAGATGATTTATATTCTCTTATTCAAAGTCATTAAGTCAGCTATATTGTCGAAAAAATTAAAAAACGTAAATTAAATATGCGATAGCATGAATCTTTAAGCAATACCGATAGAAAAATTTCTTTTACTAGATACCTTACCGTGAATTATTATAGCAAACATCAACATATCCACATGCCACAAGTCTCAAAAGTTTCATGTCCACCCAGTCCTAACCTTCAGCCATCAAGTGTGAGTCCCATCAGTCTTGGTAACTGTCCTTCGTTTCCTTCAGGATCTCGATGAAAGTTCCCGCATTACTCATCGTTCACGCCTGCAGGATTAGAATTCATCTTGAATAAAGGCGTAAAATACATCGAGAAAGACCTGCTCATGTTGCAGCTTAAAATATGGTCACTATCATGTATTGTCGGCCCATAATCCACGACATTTGATCCCATTCTACTCAGCAAATATCTTTAAGATCAGCCACAAATTAATGCCACGCTTTTCCTTGGTCTAATCACAGATTTTCTTCAGATAAAAATTATAAAACTTTAAAAGTGAATCATTTATTGATTGTTCATTATTTAGATGTTCAATGAGCAGTCTGATGAGGGTAATGATATTTTGAAGTTGCAAATTTCTGTAGACACGATAGAAAAGAGACTTCAACGTCCAACAGGTAATGATCCACCGTAGCTGCAACGTCTTCTTGGTAACGATGAATGGAGACTTGAACGTCCAACAGGTAATGATCAATAAAAACGGCCACGTCTTGTTGCATTTATTAATGAAAACACCTTAACCTTGCGATTACTAAGGATCCAATGAGACTTTTAGGTTTTAAAAGCATAATTATCTGCATGTTTTAAAACAATGCTATTAATAAATAATGTCTTACATTTCTTTTATAACTGTTAGATATCAACTCGCCTGCTACATTCTCACAACAAACTAATATACGCGAGAAATAATATTCTCACTGTTGTTCACCATTTGATAGTTAGTGGAATATTCATTATTATTTAGTAGTGAAGTGCTATCATAATGCTAACATGTGTAATTATTAACGTAGTTGAGACTTAAGCAGCGAGACTAAATATAGCAATGGAATGTTTTTATCAAATTTTAAGTGACGTCATGCAGATTCTACATTCCTAATGATGGAATGTAAATTCCACATTGAGAGTAATGAAATGTAAATACCGCTTTCATAATGATTAAATGTAGATTTCACATTTAGAGTAATGAAACGTAAATACCCTTTTCATAATGATGGAATGTAAATTCCACGTTGAGAGAAATGAAATGTAAATGCTGCTTTCATAATGTTCTAATGCATATAATCCACATTTAGAGAAATGAAATATAAATTCCATAATGAAGGAATGTAGATTCCACATTTAGAGAAATTAAATATAAATTCCATAATGATGGAATGTTGATTCCACATTTAGAGTAATGGACAAACGTGAATACCGCTTTCATGATGTTCGAATGTAGATTCGTTATGATTGTTCTCTAAGAGCCTGAAATGCCGCGAACCTAATTTAATTGCATAAAAAGTATTCGCAGCTTTTTCATTTCCTAAAAAATCATTTTTCTCCATTTATCTACATTTTACATTGAATTATACATTTACAGTAATGGACAACCGATGCCGAATTTAGAGTGAATGCCCCGATCACAACCCCCAGTTGTTTACTTCGATCAGATCAGCATCTAGATCAGCACGAGTTTGGTCGGCTTGTCTATTTGTTATATTGCTTGTCTATTTGTTATATTGAACAATTCTGAAGGTGGCTAAATTCGCATGCACCGGGTTTAGCATAAGCATTGATTTTATGTTGAAAATATACAATATTTTTGGATAATAAAGAATTTGGGTGTTTTAGTTTAAATTTAATTTTAAGTCGTAAATGGAAATACAGGTCTGGGTCATGAAAGTGAACGTCACATTTGATCTTGGAACATTTATTGATTCTAAGATGAGTTCATTTGTCACAATGCTCGCAGTTTTAATTCTGCTTTACTTTAAAAATATTAATTACTTATTAAAAATATAACTGGTCTGAAGAGTTTAATAAAATTCACACCGATTTATTCAATGCATGTGTATCTTATATTGATCGTTGTCAATCTTGCTAAAAAAATTGTTTCCAGTATTTTCACTGCCGGAAAACCAGTTGGTTTTACATAATAATCAAGTGAGGTTGAGTAGTTCAAACACAAAATTAATTTAAATTAACTGATTCATTGTGACTTTATATGATTAAATTTAATCTAACTATGTTTTGTGATCGCAAAACTAACCCGGTCGCAAAGAACAACTGCAACGAGCATTCGTCGCCTCATAAATTTGGTTCTCGATACCAAATCTGAAGCTTGATTTATCACGGCTTGTTAAGCACGCGACTTAGGGAATGATCGAGCCAGATCTTGTTTATCTTGTCCTTGGATCTGAGGAATGATCGATCTCAATCTTGTTGATCTTGCCATGCGATTCAAGGAATGATTGATCTTAATCTTGTTGTTCTGGGTCCATACTTTCAAAAAAAGGTAAGAGATCGTAAGTTCATCAGCCAATCAT